GGTTTGAAAAATGTTGGGATAATCCAATGGTGACTGTTTTTTAATAAAGTGCTGGAAGCCTAGCTTGGAGTAGATTAAACCAAAAATGAACCATTATTTCTTCTCTGAACATTTTAGTGTATAGTTTGCCTCAAGTATGATTAGCTTCAGGTGTTTAAATGGTGTCATTAGGACTTCATCTTCCTGAACTATCTCTTCTCTTTTTCTGCCCCAGAATCTTAGAGTATTGCTCTTCTGTTTGTTGGCTTTTCATCGGTGCTCTTTCTTCACAGGGTGACTGCATCACTAACAGGCTTATATACTACCAGCTTATTTTCTTACTAGCTTTATTTTTATTTTTTATTTTGCAGCACTAGAGATTCAACCTAAGGGCTCTCCTGCGCTACGCAAGTGCTCTAACACTGAGCTAGCTCACAATCCCTTATTTGTTCATTTACTTGTTTATATTTTAAGACAGGGTCTTGCCAAGTTGCCAGGGCTGGGTCCTCATTCAGCCTCCCAAGTAGCTAAGGTCATAGACATGTGCCACATGGCACAAAGCTCAATATTTCCATTTAAAGTGTACAGTTCAGTTGTTTTAGTATATTCAGAGTTGTATGACCATCACCACAACCAATTTTTGAACATTTTCATCACCCTAGAAAGAAGCTTTGTGCCCAATGGCAACCACTGCCCATGTCCCCCAACCCAGCCCTTCTCAACCACTACTTTCTGTCTATGGATTTGCTATTTGTGCACATTTTATATAAGTGAAATCATATAGTATGTGATCTGTTTGCCTTCTTCAATTTGTATAATATCCTCAAGGTCCATATGTATAACATGTATCAGTGTTTCTTTTCCTTTTATTGCTAAATAATATATGGGTATATCACATTTTGTTACCCATTTATCAATTGATAGTTGTTTGAATGTTTTTCCCTTTTTGGTGGTCATTAATACTGATATAAACATTTGTGTACAGACTTTTATTTATGTATGTTTCTAATGTCTCTCTAGGAATGAAATTGCTGGGTCAGATGATAACTCTAATGTTTAACTCTGTAAGGAGCTAAAGTGTTGTCCATAGTGGCTGTACCATTTTACCTTCCCACTAGCAGTGTATGAGGGGTCTAGTTTCATTATATGCTAGTTAACACTATTCTCTGCCTTTCAATTTTAGCCATCCTGGTTGGTACTAAGTGATAGCCCTTAAATTAAAAAAGTATTTTAAGTTAATTCATAATTTTAAGAAGCTTTTTTTTGTCTTTTTGAGACAGGGTCTCACTATGTATTTCAGGCTGGCCTTGAGCTCACTTTGTAACCCAGGCTGGTCTCGAACTCGCAACAATCCTCCTGCCTCAGCCTCCTGAGTGCTGGCATTACAGGCTTGTGCCACCATGCCCGGCTTAAGAAGCTTTTTGTAGAATAAACTTTTAAAAGATGATTAAATTTTGCATGTATAAAAGTTGAAGCAAGCCATGTGTGGTGGCACATGCCTGTAATCCCAAAACTTGGGAGGCTGAGGCAGGAGGTTCACCATAAGTTCAAGGTTAGCCTGAACTACATAGCAAGACCCTGTCTCAAAAGAAATCACAGCAGAAAAGGCTGGGAATATAGCTTAGCCAGGTAGATCACTTACCTAGTAGGTGCAAGGCCCTAGGTTCAATCCACACCACCACCAAAAAAAAAAATGGTTTTCACACGGACGTGAAAAGTTACTGTGTTGTATTCAAGCCATGTGTCATTTGGAATTCATATTTCTGCATAAAAACTGCATTAACATGGACATATTATCTTTTCCTGAATCAGTAGCTGAAGTGGAAAGTTCTTTCCTCCTTCATTTTCACAGTAACTCTTAGCTGCAAAGCCAGGAGACCATCTGGAGTTGCTATTATCAGAGCTTTAGTATCCCTACTGAGTATCTTTGCTAGATATTCCATTTTTGTCTGATAGCCAGTTTAATCCCCTATACCATTTCTTGCCACCAAATCTCTGAATTGCTAACTTGAGGGGGTTTCATGGTAATAGTTTTAGAGGGCTCTAGTCCTCCCAAGGAGATCCGTGAAGATTTATATTATTAAACTAAAACTATATAGGGTCATGATCCTTGAGGCTAGTGTTGTAGCAACACTATCCATTGTAGTAGCCACTAGTGACTTGTGGCTTTTGAGCACTTGAAATGTGGGTAGAGTGACTGAAGAACTAAATTTTAAATTTTAATTATTTTAAATTTCAGTAACCACATATGGCTAGTTGGATAACACAGCTTTACACTGAAGTTTTGGTTCATATGTTTATGAATATACGAATTGAAGCTCCTTGATTGCTGCTGTGGACCTGAAGACATATCTGTAATGATCGGTATTAGATAGGACTTGTTTACAGACTATTTACACATTTAGAACTCACTTTAGGGTGTTTGGCCAATAGATACTTTATACAATATCTTATGTGATATAAAAGTGTTACATTGATCTCATGGACCGTACAGTGATCCCTCACCTATCGTGGGAGTTATGTGCCAGTGACCCCCCACAATAGGTGAAAAATCATGAAGTAGCAGTGTTATATTTATTTTATTATTTATATATTTTAAGACTTTATAAACTCTTCCCACACTCCTATAAACCTTTCCTGCACTCTTATAAACACTTCATATACTCTTAAACACTTTCTATACTCTTAAACCTAGGTAATTTTAACAGTGTGTAAAATTCTATATGGGTACTCGATGTGAAGTGGACAAGGAGAGATGCTGAATGTATGGGCACATTGCAGGAGAACAAACAGACCAGTGCAGTGGTCACTGAGCCAATTAGTGCCCAGGATACAGAACACAGTGCTGTAGTTGGTCACCTTCCATTCCATCAGCCAGTAGTGTACCATGTACAGTCTCACATTGGCAAACGTGTGCAAGTGGTAGTGGCATACTGCATTTCCATTGTGTACAGTGTGGTATTCATCTGCTGATGAAATACTGTATTTTATTTCAATTTCATATTCTTTTAATGTTTGAATTAACATTTTAAATATTTTTTATATTTTAAATTTTTAGGCAAAAATAATTAAAATCATAAATATTATATAAATACCTATATACCTCAGAATTCTGTAATATTCTGAAAACTTCACGATACAGAATTAGGTGTATATATATTTTTTAAAACCCACAATACAGTGAAGCTGCAGTAAGTGAACCATGATATAGTGAGAGACGACTCTACAGTTGTGTCTCATAAACATGTTTTTTTGTATGTTAGGGCAGTACTGGGGATTGAACCCAGGCCCTTCACACTGGGCCACTTCCCCAGCCCTTTATATTTTGAGACAGGGTTTTGACAAGTCTCTAATTTGCACAGGTTAGGCCCAAACTTGAAGTCCTACCTCAGCTTCCCAGAGTGCTAGAATTACACACATGTGCCATCACACCTAGTTTATTTTATATTCTTTTTTTTTTTTGGCTTTTCTCTGGTACCGGGAACCGAACTCACGACCTTGTGCTTGCCAGGCAGGCGCTTTTTGCTGCTGAGCTAAATCCCTAGCCCCTATTTTATAGTCTTGATAGCCGTAGGTACTTAATGTTAAGCAGGAATTATCATATTTATCTACTTGATATATGCATTACCTTACTTCTTGTTTAGGGACAAAGCACTATTAAAGCAGTTGAGTTGAAGATATTTGTAAATAGATCTTAGAACTAGAGAAATTTGGGCTGGGCATGGTGGTGCATGCCTGTAATCTCAGCACTCAGGAATATTGTTGTGAGTTCGAGACCAAAGTGAGCTCAAGGCCAAAGTGAGCTCAAGGCCAAAGTGAGCTCAAGGCCAACCTGAACTGCATAGCAATACCCTGTCTCAAAAAGACCAAAAAAAAAGAAAAAAGAGGGAGAGAAATTTGGCCAGGCATGGTGGGGTGCCCATGTAATCCAGCAGTCAGGAGGCTGAAGCAGGAGAATTCAAGTTCAGCCTGAACTCACTAGGCCCTGTCTCAGGGTCTGTCTCAGAAAAAAAGAAAAAGAACTAGAGAGTGCTGAAGGACAAAATTCACTGGAGAGTATTGATATACAAGTTCAAACATTTGTAACCAGTAACTTTCTGGAGTTAAAAATAGTATTTTTCCTGTGGACTAATCAGTGTAAGTAGTATAAGTACATAAGGAAAGTATAAGTACATATGGAAAAATTTACTGTCAGTTTGAGGATAAAGATAAATGTGAAGACCGAATTAGCTCTGTATATCCTACTTACTTTAAATTTTGATCCCTAATTTTTACCTTTTTGTTTTGCAACTGAAATAGTGTAAGATTAGTATTTATTTTATATGTAGAATATATAGGACATGTGTGAGAATTCAGAGTGCAGTTTAGAATCAAATTCTTATTCTAAATAAAGCAATTCAAATGTTTTTTGATAACATTTAATATAAAAGCTTTGTGTGGGGGGAGAGTACTAGGTATTGAACGCAGGATCTCAAGCTGAGCTACATCCCCAGCCCTTTGTATTACTTTTCAAATTTTGAAATAGTATCTCACTAAGTTGCTCAGGCAAGAGTCAAACTTGAGATCCTCCTGCCTTAGCCTCCTGAGTTGCTGAGTTACAGGCCTGCACCACTATGCCTGGCTTAAAATTTATGTCGTTTAATAATTTATTAAATTTTCTCAAATAGAAAATGTTAAAACATTCAGTATTTTACATATTAAATTTGCATTCAGTTATGAATCAGTTATGAAAGTGAATTATCTGTGTATATTATACATACCAAATTCAAATTGCAAGCTTTCTTTAGGGAAAAAGATTAGAGGTGTATACATTTAACTTAACAAAAGCTACTCCAAGAGTAGCTATCTTTATTTTATAGGATGGAAAACTAAAACCTAACTTGCTACCGTGTCTAGTGTCATGTAAATTTGCTGGAGATTGAAATTAGAAACACAAATTTCTAAATCAGTTTCATGTTTCGTTATTTGATGTTACTTAGAGTTCTTAATAAAATTGATTTATGTCTTATATTTGTTCTTAGGTGACTGCAGCTTGATGGATGACGACAACTCTTTTCAACAAAGAAGTAGGTGTTAAGTGCTGCAATTGATAAAAATATGCATAGGTTTTGTATTGATAAGCTTCCTGCAAGAGAAAAGATGATACAGGAAGACACATTTTCTTAAAATTAATGGTGCTTAGAGCTGGCATCGTGGTACATGCCTGTGTAATCCAGCATTTTGGAAGGGTGAGGCAGGGGGATCCCAAGTTTGAGCCCAGCCTGGGCAACTTAGTGCCTTAGCAAGACCCTGTCTTTTGAAAAAGAAAAAATGCTGGGGGCGGGGGGAATAGCTCAATGTAAAGGCCTTGGCTTAGAACCCCAGTGCCACCAAAGAAGAAAAAGAAATAAAAAAAGAAAAACACTTAAATTTGTTAAAATAATACATACTTATTGGGCCGAGCATATAACTCATTGGCACAGCACCTGCCTGGCAAATGCAAGGCCCTGAGTTTGATTCCCAGTACCAAAAAAAATACATATTCATGGTTAAAAATGAGTAATATACAATAAAATGTGAGCAAAGTAGATATTAAATGTTTTCTCTTCATCCACAGAGGTAGCATTATAGTCTTGACAGACATAATCACAAGTGTCCTCTGTGCATAGACAAGAACTTTCATTTCTAAAAATGATTATGCTATATGTGCTATTGTGTAACTTAAATTTTTTTTCTCAACAGTATATCTTAACTGTATCGACAATGGATGGTAGAATACAGTTTAAAAGAATAAGGAAGACGTGTGTTCACATGGTTATCACTATGTTATCATTATCAGTATACATTAACTTCCTTCACTTCTTTACATTTGGCATTGCCTGACTTTGCCAAGTTTCTTAGCCTGTAGAGTATATGTCAAGTGCCTGCTATATATCCAATAGACTACTGTACATAGGAGGGAAGTACAAAGGAGAAAGAAAATATTCTCCACTTTCAAGAAGTTCACTTTGAAGTTGAAAGTAAATAATTAAGATACATTAAAAATAGTGAGCAGTTTGAGAACATGTACAGTAAACCTTAAATTGCATGCCATATAGACTGTCAGTACAGTAAGAGGTGAAAGAAAAACAGGTTTAATTGTTCATTGAGGAAGTTACAGTTGTTCTGATTTGGGAAAGGACAGCATTGATATTTTGTAAAGTATCTGCTTGAAGTTACATTCTGTATATAGCATCTTTTTCAATCTCTGTTTCCACTTCTATTAGATATTTTAATATATCAGAGATGAAGCAGTAGGCCAAGTAATTTTGCCAGGGTCACATAATTAGAGAAAAATTACAGTGAAGACTTGAACTACAATAGTTCCCTCTTATCTAGAGGATATAGTCCAAGAATGCCAATGAATACTAAAACCACAGGTTAAAGCAAAACTTACAATTTCATTCGTTTTCCATCTTAAAGTATTTATTATATTATGAACTGTGGCTGTAACTCTTGCTGTTTAAGGTACAACAGCAAAAACTACCATAAACTTCGTTTTCCTTCTTCCACTTCTCAGAAGATGGTTTTACCATAGATCTTAGAAACCTTGGCATATGAGGATTTTTTTCTTTCATTATTAAGTCAGGTACTTTTATTTTTTCACCTAACAGATGCAATTTGCAGTTTACCTTTGGCATATCTGGATTGCTGGCAACATTACTTTTGTGCTTTGGGGCTACTGTTAGCTAAAATGAAAGCTACTTCAACAAAAGTACTGTTGGACTAACAACCAAGATGACCACTAAGTGACTACTAAGGCAGGCTATGTATACGGTGTGGATACACTGGACAAAGGGATGGTTAATGTTCCAGGAGGGACAGTGCAAGAAAGTGCAATATTTCATTATGGTACTAACAATGATATGCAATTTAAAACCTATGAATTGTTTATTTCTGGAAATTTCCTAGTATTTTCATACCACAGTTCACTACAGGTAACTGAAACCATGGAATATAAAACTATAGGTAAGGAGGAACTGCTTTATTCAATTCCATGTCAAGTCTGCTCTTTCCACTATTTATATAATGTGGGCAATAAAATGTAAGGAGAAAGGATATTCTGGGTAAAAAAAATCAGTGCAAATGAGGGCTCCAGGGAACACAGTGAGGCTGGTGATTTCAAGTATGCTAAATATACAAATATTAAATTATGAATTATGCTTTTACTTATTTGAGGACAATCTATACTTTTTTGAGGTATTTAGAAAAGGGAGTCGGTTCATAATACTGATTACATTTGGGAGAATGAGAACGTTTTTTGCTTTCAGGCTTTTTATGGAGGGAAACTAACTACCGAACATTATGCTAAGAAGTGAATTTTGGGCTGAGGTGTAGGTCAGTGGCACAGTGTTTGCCTAACATGTACAAGGCCTTGGGTAGGAAAAAGAAGGAAGGGAATTGTGGCATACCTATGTAGAAGAGGAAAAATAAAAGTAAAAAAAAGAATGCCATGTGCTTGTTACGGTGTTTCTTTCGTATGCTATCTCCACACCATTGTTTTCTTCAAGAAGTGCCTTTTAAAGGTCCTGCTAAACTGTGGTCTTAATTTTGGGTTGAAAGTAGAAATGGCATTATTTTAATAAAACAGAATTACCTTTAGAAAGGGCTGCATTTTAAAATAATGGATTTTTTTTGTCTAAGCCTGAACTCTGAAGATATTAGTTGTCACCCATCTACCCCTCTACCACTTACATACAGTCCTCCTTATAATTTTACTTTAGGTCACCTTCAGTATTTCTTTTTTTTTTTCTGGTACCAGGAGTTGAACTCACGACCTTGCGCTTGCCAGGCAGGCGCTATGCCGCTGAGCTAAATCCCCAGCCCCAGTACTTGTTTTGAACAGAAACAATGCACAGTCTAAGTCAAACAACTCTGAAAAGGATTTAAATTGCATAACCACAATTTTGTTTCAGGGAGTAGGGTAGACAGGTGTGTCTGAACACATGTGTAAACCTGTATACTATCTCCTCCCGCACCCAAAAGGAATCTACTTTCAGCTGTTCAGCTGTTTTTCTAATGATTCTTTCCAAATTTCTGTTTTCAAACATGTATGTGTATACTGCTCTCTCTCAAATCATCAGTTTTTGTCTTCTGATGATTTTCTATCAAGAAAGATGAGAATTTCAGGTGTATTTTTTACACTTTAGCACTCTCCAAGCTTTTCTCAATATAATTATATCTCAGTTTTTGGTTAAATCATCTTTGCTTTTACTATGGTGATCATAGTATATATTTTTCACTGATGAGCATAGTACTGGTTAATATGGTTACTTTTTTTTCTCTTTATATAGCCTGCAATTAAAAATTTTCATGCTTTATATTTGATGGTTGTTAAAATCTATAACTAAGTCTTAACAGTACTCGTATATAGGCTCTTAGTTTTCTACATGGTAAAATGTGTCACGTCATCTAAGTATAATTTTTATTATTTTCCGCTAAAGAGGTATCAGGTCTTTTTGCAGTAATAGTCTCATAATATATTTGCTCTATAGACCTATTGAGCAATTACTGTCCTGAAACTTTCCTTTGTTTTTGTATTGTGTTGACTGTCATGTTTCCTGCATTCTATATTTTTCTCCTTCTTAAGTCCCATAATTGGGTGGACTCTGCTTGAGAAAGAAAGAGTAAATGGGAGAGAAAATCTGTCAAACTGAAATTCTCATATTTCTTGATAGAAAATTATTAGATAATGACAAAAACTGATGATTTAAGAAAGAGTGGTATAGGGGCCAGGGATATACCTCAATGGCACAGTGCCTGCCTGGCAAGTGAGGTCCTGAGTTCAATTCCCAGTACCCACCCCCCCAAAAAACAGCAGTATGTACATTTGTTGGTCATTACTCTTCATAAACAAATAGGTACCACATGCTAAGAATAGTAGATTGGCCAAGTATAGAAAATTATTTTTAGTAAGATTTTTATATAAACATTATTTTAACTTTCTTATACCTCCACCCCAACTTTAGGATGTTCTCTTATTTCCAGCCTTCTGAAATTTTATGATGTGCCTCAGTGTACTTGTTCTATTCTTCGTCATTTTGCTGGGCGCTAGTGGCTCCTTTCATTCTAGAGATTTATGTCCTTCAGAACTGGGAATTTTTGTCTTATTTTTCTTTGATTACCTTCCCTTCCTTTTTTCTGTCCTGTTTCTGAATTATTTTCACTAGTAGGGATTCAATCCGGGGCCTTTACACTGAGCTATATCCCTGAATTTTTTTTCACTTGAACTGGTCTCATTAAATAGCCTAGGCTGGGCTGGAACTAGAATCCTCTTGCCTTAGTATCCCAGCATGCTGGGATTACAGGTGTGTGCCATCACACTCTACTTATTATTTGAGACAGGCTTTTACTAAGTTGCACAGGCTGTGCTTAAACTTGGAGTCTTTCTGCCTTAGCCTCCCAAGTAGCTAGGATTATAGGCATGTGGCGCTGTGACTAGTTTTTATTAGATGTCTGTTGTACATTTGAAATTGATTTTTCTAACAATTTTGGCTTTTCTGTTTGTTACATGTTCGTTGCCTTTTACTTCCATAGTTGCTCAACTTTGGAATTTATTTTTTTTTAACTGAAACTTGGGTGTCTTATTTTTACTCTTTTCCTGAATGTGATTTATAATAATTTTGTTTTATTTCTCCAAACATGCTAATTGTAATTTCTTTAATATTTTTCTGTTCTGTATCTGTGTGCTTGGTCATAACTTACAGGCTCGTAGTATTCACAATATGTTTTTTGTTTAGTTTCTTCAGGTGAAAAGTTTCTGCTGTGGAATGGAATGAGCTTCATTTAATATCCCTATTTTCAGTCTCGTACTTCATCCTTGCTTTGCTTTATGCCTAGTGGCCCTGAATCTAGTTCAGGGGTTTTTTGCCTCTTTTTTTTAAATTTATCTCCCTTTTGTTAATACAGGTGAGTTTTTTCAGATGATTGTTAGATATAATCCTTTTTGTAAGTATAATCATATTGTAGTAATATAACTGAAACTCACTTTAAATGCATTTGATCTTAAAATTCATTGGCCATGGTATCTACTGTCCTCCATTATCTACCTAGTAGCCAAGTTTTACTAGTTTACATGTTAACAAATTAAATTCTTTGCTTCTTCCTTTTGCTAGCATGTACCAATTACAAATATAATCTGAATTTATATTGAAGAGATTTTTTTTCTTTTTGAAAAATAAGGTTTCATTCTCTCCTTTTGAAAATTAGGTAATTCGAAAATGGCAGAACTATTCATGGAATGTGAAGAAGAAGAGCTAGAACCATGGCAGAAAAAAGTAGAACCACCACAGGTTCAAGATGACGATGATGATGAGCTAATCTTTGTTGGAGAAATATCAAGTTCAAAACCAGCCATTTCAAGTAAGCATTTACTTCAGTGACATTTCATAAGATAGTTGTTTCCTGTTTTCATTGGAAAAGCATATGAACTATCGTATGTGGTCTTGATATATTTGTTCTTCTGAAAGAAGCTGGAGGGGAAAAGAAGGGCTAGAAGTTAGTAAAAACTTGGATAATTACAGTGAGCATGTAGCTGGGGACAGCAATACCATAAAATATCATATGTGAGAAAACAGTTGAGCATTGTAGGCCTTCTGAGATCCTGCTTTTTAAGGGAGCCGTTTAGCCTATGTGTTTAATTTTGGTTTTTGTTTCTCTTTGCAGCCCTGATGTAAAGAAAAGGAATTTATACTTTTTTAAAATATTCAGAATAGCCAGGCGTGGTGGCGCACGCCTGTAATCCCAGCACTTGGGAGGCTGAGGTAGGATTGTTGCGAGTTCGAGACCAGCCTGGGCTACAAAGTGAGCTCAAGGCCAGCCTGAACTGTGTAGTGAGACTCTGTCTCAAAAAGACAAAAATAAATAAAATAAATAAAATATTAAGAATATACTAAATAGGTTTGTATTAGTGTCTGGTAGGGGTTGTCATGTCCAAGCAGCTGTCTTATGAAAGTGTCAGCTTGGTTCATGGCTATTAAAATGTGTAGGCTCTGTGTGATTATGCAATTTCTGCTGTGTGTACCAACATGTGCTGTAGCTTCTGGCTATACCTACCTTACTGAAAATACAAGGGGATATTTGTTTGTTTGAGACAGGGTCTCAGTATGTACTGTAATTCAGTCTATCCTTAAACTCACTATGTAGCTCAAGCTGGCATCAAGCTCATAGCCCTCCTCCTGCCTCAGCTTCCTGAATGCTGGGATTACAGGGGTGCACCACCATGCCTGGCTGACAGCTCCTATTTGTATTCATGGTGGAAGGACCTACACTTTTGCCACTGTACTTGGTTGATATAGGCAGTCAGAACACTTACATCCTTATAGATTTCAAGCAAAAGATGCCTACTTTCTAGCAAAAGATGCCCAATGCCTTTGTGAATTACTAGATTTCTCTCAGGTAATTAACATTACCTTAACATTATTATAATGTCAAAGTAAAGGTACCACCGATAACTTGTTAAAATATCCTCTCAAAAATGAATAAAGTGTATGACACAGAATACTGAATTTCTTGAAAGAAGAAACATACTTTCCCATTTTATTTACTTTTTTAAGTTGGAGAATTTAGCAAAGAATGTAGTTAGCATACCAATTTTCTTAGTTACCATGACAATGAACAATGGTGTGGTTGGGACAAATTTTATATTTTCTGAAAGCCTGATTCTTTTGTCTCCATTTCTCTGCCTGCCTGCCTGTCTCTGTCTATATCTATGTCTATCCCTGTCTCTGTTGGTCTGCCTCCCTCTGCCTCCGCCCTGCCCATACTAGAATTGAATTAATGGCACTGGGCTATATCCCCTAACCCTTCTATTTTGAATTGGGTTCTAAATGGTCCAGACAGGGACTTGAGATTCTCCTGCCTCAGCCTCCTAGGGTGCTGGTATTACAAATATGTACCTCCTTGCCTGGCTTCTTGTTTCTCTTGACTCTAAACTTAGACTAGAGCTTATATTCATTTTTATCACAAGTAGGAATGTTTTCCCAGTTGAATTCTTAATATAATCTGTGGCAAATTTGTAAAGTGCTAAGTAGAGTGTCACTTAAGTCATAAAACGAGCTAGGTGTATTTGGCATGTTTATTGTTAGTAGTGAAAGAGGATAGTATATTGTATTTTTTAAAGAGAATAATTTAAAAAACAATAAAAATGATACACAATTTCAAAACTAGATGGTAGGAAATTAACAATGGTTATTATATTGTATATTGTTATCTTCAAAGTAGTTGTTCAGATTACCAGATATAAGCATGTAAGATTGGTCAAACAGTATAGACACTAACTGTTCCTTTCAGTGAATTAATTAGTAGTACAATTTTCTTAGCTATTTTGTGAGTGTGCGTATGTGGGTGTATATATATATATATATATATACACACACACATACACACACACACACCCTGCTACTTTTTTCCTTTCCACCATCCTGGTTGTTATTCCCATTTTGAGCAGTTGCTTTCCTTTTCACAATGTCTCTTGTACATTTTGGATCTTACCACATCTTTTTTATCTTTTCCTCAGTTGATGGGCATTTTGGTTGTTTCCAAGATTTATCTATTACAAATTGTGCTGCTATAAACATGGGTGCACATATAACACTGTGGTATGATGGTTTTAATTCTTCTAGAAAAATACATAGAACGGGACTAATAGATCGAGTGGGACCTCTAATCCTAGTTTTTTGAGGAATCTCCACATTTGATTTCCACAGTGGTTGTACCAGTTGGCACTCCCAACTGTAGAGAAGGGTCCCTTTATCCCTACAGCCCCACCAATATTTGTTATTGGTTAATTTCTTGATGATAGCAATCTTTCTGGGATGAGATGGAATCTCAGTGCTGTTTTAATTTGCATTTCTTGGATGACCAATGATTTTGAACATTGTTTCATATATTTATTTGCCATTTGTATTTTTTCATCTGAGAAGTGTGTATTCATCTCAGATACCCATTTTTGGATTGGGTCTTTGAATTTTAGGGGTCTGGTTTTTTTTAATTCTTTATAAGTTGTACTTGGAAATCCTTTGTCTGAGGGACAGTTGGCTAAAGTTTTTTCCCAATTTGTGGGTTTTCTTTTCACTCTGTTAGTGATTTCTTTTTGTTTTTTTTTTTTTTTGGGTACCAGGAATTGAACTCAGGACCTTGCACTTGGCCAGGCAGATGCAATGCCACTGAGTTATACCCCAGGCTTAGTGATTTCTTTCGATGTGAAAAACTTTTTAATGAGATCCCAGTTGTTGATTCTTCAAAGTATTTGTGTTGCATTTTAAGTTACTATTCTTATCACTGATAATTTTATGGTAAAATATTACCATATTTCAAAATTCTTACTCAAATCATCTTCCTGAAAGCAAACAATTCCCATTCATGTTGGATTTATATCAATTGTAGGTGAGTGTTAACAGTACTGAACTACAATAATGTGTATTAGTTTTAAGTAATTCTATCAAAAAAGGGAGTAGACCCAGTGGAATTTCATTTCTAAATTGTTAACTCAGAACTTGATTTTTAGCTCAGTGTTGTGTCACACCTATACTCCAGCACTTAATGAGGCTGAGGCAGGAGGATTGCCATGGGTTTGAGGCCAGCCTGAGCTATAAAGTGAGTTCAAAATCAGTCTCCTCCAAGATCTAAGGCAAACTTAGCTGTGAGCCCCTGTACAAACGAAAAGTTAAACACTTCCAACATTCAGTGGCACAAGATAAACATTACCATTCCAAAAGACACAAATAGGAGGATACAAAGCATTGGGACCAAAGCAAGTCCAAAATCCAGTGGGGTAAACATTAAGTCCTGTAGTTCCATGTGGAACATCTGAAGCAATCTGTGGTACATTGTGAGCTCCAAAGGGCTTGCATGACTCTTCCCCCTTTGGCACTTCTGGTGGTTGTAGCTCCTAGGGCTTCTCTCTTGGGCCCTCTTTGCTCCCTCTTTGCAGCTTTTGTCAGACAATCCACATTCCTGGCTTTTTCAACTTTCTGAGGTCTCCACTGCTCTTTAGGTGTCTCACTCACAGCTTCACACACTGCCCTCTCAGGAGCACACAGCTTGGCCACCCAGGCCTTCTGAAATCTAGGTGGAAGCCGCCTTAACCTCAGAACTCCTGCATTCTGTATGTGCCTTAAACCAGTACCATGTGGACAGTACCAAGGTTTGCTGCCAGCTGGAGCAGTAGCCAGGCTTTCCTCTCTCTGAGCTGTCAGGGTTGAGTGCCTGGATTGCTGGGCACTCTGAACCCGATTCTGAGGAACAGATTCTCTGTGCCTCCACAGTTCAGGAACCTGGTGCAGCCACTACTGCCATTCTGGAACATGGCACTCTACGGCCTTCTTCTCAAAGCAAAGTCTTTCACCTTAGCAGTTTTGAGACTGCAAAGGGTGGAAACTTGCTTCTTTTGATGCCCTCAGGCCATCTTTTCTGTTCTCTAGTCCCGTCTCAGCAATGGAGATCTCCTCAGCTCTGTCTTTGCAATCCACAGCTTTACTGAGGCTTCTTTTCTGGCCAAACTCACAACATTTTAAATCATCCTGCTGGGCTATTTGCTCTTGATTCTGAACATAAATCTGGCTAAAAGCCATAGCCATGCCACTGCCCCAATGTTCGACTGCCTTGAAACTTCTTTTGCCAGGTTAATTAGTCCACCACCCTTAATCTCAGTCTAAGGCCAAGTCTCTGGACATGAGCAAAATGCAGACAAACTTTTTTGCCAAGCCATAGCACACAGTCTGGAGTCCCACAGGCAATGCAGTCCTTCCCAGCAGAAACGTCCCGAGTCTGGTCTGTACTGGCAGGATTTCTAGCAGCCTTCTGGTCTTTGAGCCCTGACCAAAATCTCCCATACAGAACAGCTGAAAGCATTCTAGTGCTTCTCTTTGAGGTGAACTCTGCAAACCTTTCCAAACACTTCCCACAAGCCATTTCCAAAGGCTCTTGAACCCCACATAGTTAGGTATAGTCATAGCAAGGACCACACTCCTTTGGTATCAAATTCTGTCTTGGTTACTTCTCTGTCGTTGCTGAGACAAAATACCTCATGCCTAAAATTAAGGAAGGAAAGGTTTATTTAGCTTACAGTTTGTGGAGGTTTCAGTCCATACTCGGGTGGCACGAGGCAGAGGGCAATAGCTCATGACTGCAGAAAACAGCAAAACCAACAAGGGCAAAAAAGGAGGAGCACCAAGCAAGCCTCTTTCCCTCCCTTATATTGTATGACGGCTACTATCCCCAGGGCAGGTGTAGCACTCATGCCCATAATCCTAGCACTGAACCAAGAATCACTCAAAAACCCTAGAAGCCTGCCACATGACTGCATGAGGCTTTGAGGGGACATTCAAACACAAATCATAACAATACTTATATGACCTTTTACTTTACAGAATTGTGAAATCTGGTTCTTTTGGAGTAGAAGATAAAAAGATTTTGAGGATTTATGGGATATTTTCGTGTTTTTTATCTTTTTTTAATAAGCAATTTTAGGCCAATTGCTGCTCTGCTAAATTTCAATTTGAGTTCTCAGATAACTGGAAGTTACAGAGTTCACATGAGTACAAGAGGGAGCAGTCTTTATTTTGTGGACTTGGGGTCTCACTGTGTAGTTTAAGGTGGACTTGAACTCCTTATGTAGCACAGGCTGGCTTCAAACTGGTGGTGATCCTCTTGCCTCAGCCTCCGAAGTGCTGGGATTATAGGCCTGCACCACCACACCTCGCCAGAGGGAACAGTTTTTAACTGATCGAGAATCAATCTGATCCTGTCAGGTTCAGATTGACTTTATCTGAAACCACTTAAACTAATGAAATGCTAAATGCTAGGTTCAGTGTAGTCTGTAGTCTCTAATTCGAAACTCAGGAGCAGTGGTGATGAGCAGTCAGTGAGAGAAAAATCAGTCCATCCATAATGCAAATTCAGGCATTTAAGAGTATGAATGTGGCATGGGGGTTGATGGAGGGCTTGATTTCAAAACTATACATAATCTTCACCATTAAGGGAAAGATATTTCTATTTTTGGTTATGGCTATATTTTTAGAGTTTATATTAATATATTTCAAATAATGATTTTAAAAATAAATATAATTTTTATAGATATTTTGAACAGAAGTAACACCAGCTCATCTTCAAAGGGAATAAAGAGTGAGTCGCTTGGTCCAGGTACACTATTACTATACTAATTTAAAGTAAAATATTTTGACACAATTGATTATATAGTAATATATTCAATATGTTGTATAATTTTAAATATAGGAATTTCTGATATATTCAAACCTACACGTCCACATTACAAAGTCCCAACATCAAATCCGGTGGCTGCCTTGCCTAGATTTCATCCTGACTCTAAATCTTCACAAAGTTCTGCTGTTGCTCAGAGCATATCTAAATCTGTAAGTGTTTCTGGATATTATAATATTAAGTTAGGAATTATGAACTGTCATAGCTGATTGACATTCCAGTAGAAGCATAATCACCATAAGAAAATGTCACTATCTTTATGGTATAGTTCAGCCAGTATCCAAAATTCTGACTGCAAAAATTTATACAGCATGTTATTAAATTGGATAATATGCTTAAATAAGTATAGTATTAAAATCTGCAATTTAAACTTACATAAGTATAACTAGTAATAAATATTAATAATGGCAGCTTTTTGTTCATATTAATGTTTTCATTCTATAAAATTATTTAGTACACTTTGTGTTAGGAGCATTGTAATCCTTTTAGCTATTTTGAAATATACCATAGGTGATTGTTAACTACAGACACTTTACTATGCTAGAACACCAGAACTGACTCATGTTGTTTATTTATGGATGAACCTCTGACTATCCCCCTATCGTGATGTTGCATAGTAGTCTGTCATTTATTTAACATCTCCAATGTTGTTGGACATAAACGGGGCTTTTTATTATAATTCTCCATTAAGCATTTTCATTTCCTTAGTATAAATTTTTAAAAGTGGAATAGTTAGCTCAAAGGATGTCAGGTTTTTTTTTTAATTTCACACTAATTTTACATTTCTAGAAAAATTACAGGGCCCGGGATATAGCTCAGTGGCACAGTGTCTGCCTGGCAATCACGAGGTTTTGAGTTTGATTCCTGGTACCCTCCCCCCCAAAAAAAAGAAAAATTACAAAAATAATGCAGATTAATAATTACTTTGTGTTGTATAATTTCTAGTGATTGAGTCTTTAAGCTTTATAGTTTAGGAATACAGTTAAATTTACCCTTATATAAAGTTTACTAAACAAATAACTATAACATTTTACAGGGTTTTTCAAAGAATTCATCACAAGTTGATTCGGATAATTCTTCAGTCTCATTGTTTGACTCATCCCAGGATACAATACCACTGTCCACAGGCATACAAAAAATTTTTTTGCCAGGTTTGGTTTAGCATTTTTTGATAAAAGTTTTTAAAAAGACTTGATGAATATGCATATGAAATTAAATTTCTATTTTGAGTCCATATTTTCATGTTATTTTTTCATATGTTACAAGATAGATGAAGCTAATCATTCCTAAATGCCCTTCTTGGATTATTTCATATAAAATTGTATTGAATAATAGAATATTTTTCCTTTTATTAATGAGGTAGCATGTATTCTTTGAGCTTATTCTTATGTGGAACCAGTTATGGGGAAAAATATCTTAATGTAATTTCTGTGAGTTGAAGAATTTCCCTGATACCTTAAATACTCTGTGAGAAAAATATTATTTGAAAGACTATTAGTATGGTAAAAACACATGGTTAAGTTGATTTTTCAATAAACTGATGTCTTTCTATCAAAATAAATGGTGTAAATACAGTTAAATGGGATTTTAAGTTATAAGATGTTAGAACTAAAGAAATGGTGTTTTGAACATGGTAAATACTCATGATATGTTCATTGAAGGAATAGTGAAATTTCCCAATTAAGGGTTTGATTGTCTGCCATAACAAAGTTCTTAACTGGGCACACCTGGTGGTGCGCACCAAGATCACTGAGTTTGAGGCTAGCCTTGACTACGTAGTGAGTCGCGACCAGCTTGAACTACATAGTGAGACCCTGTCTCAAAAAAAAGGTTCCTCATTGCATGTGCCAAAGGAATTTTATCTACTTAAAAAATTTCCTGCAGTCCAAGAAAAAGAGAATTTTTGAATTTGTAATTACTAATAAATTAGCATACATTTATCAAACCAAAACAAAAAATTGTATAGCAATATTAGTGTAAAAAATATTTTCCCATTTTGATAATACTATGCTTGACATTTACATATCTAGTTGTCCAGTTAGTAAAATAACCAAGAGCCAAAATAAATAGAGATAAAATACTGGTCTTTAGTTTGATTTACAAAACATATGATTTTAGTTGTAGAAAAAGTCTGAACTCATGATCCATCTGTAGGTTAAAGACACTGACTCTTCTGTCCTTAAAAGTCTTTATAATGCACAGAGCAGATCTTTGCCTTAAGTGGCAAATACCATTGCGGTTGGCTAGAAAGGTACAGGTTTATTTATTTTGAGATCCATCTTCCTGTGTAGTCCAGGCTGACATTGAACTCATTATGTAGCACTGGCTGTACTCAAATTTGCAGAGATTTTGCCTCAGCCTTCCAAGTGGTAGGATTACAGGCATGCACCACTGTACCCAACTTAAGTGTTTTTGTTTCTCTATCCCTGGTGCTGAGCATCAAGCCCAGGGCCTCATGCATGCTAGGCAATTTCTCTGCCACTGAGCCACAGCCCCAGACAAAAGCATCTATTCTAAAGGTTTTCATGGCCTTTACCAAGTCACCTACTCTCCTTATGCTTCAATTTTCTCACACTATTAAAATAGATACATTTATATTTTTCTGCATAATGCATGCATTTCCTAAACCTAAAATGAACCATTTGAAGATAAAGTTACTTACCTCAACGTTTTTTTTGAGGCCCAGATAAGGAAACTGAGAAATGAAAACTGCATTATTATTAAAGGACTTAATAAATAATTGTTACATTGATAATTTTGAACTGATATGTAATATATATTTGGAAGCCTGAATAATCAGTTCCTGTCTAGAATGATTATGCAAGATCAAATAGAATTAAACATCAAAAGATAAGTTCATTGAGAAGAAGTTAGTCCAGAGTATACTCTATGCTTTAATTTTTCTTTTGTTTGGCTTAGAATTTTTTGGTCTGATTTCTTTCATGATATGTGTTTGTTGGTTTGAAAGAATCTTTAGAATTTTCTTGTATAGACTCTACTCACAGTTCTATAACCTCATTATCCAGGAAGCTGAGGATGGAGGATCAAAAGTTCTTTCCCAGCCTGTAGTGAGACCCTGTTTTGAAAATTTAAAAAAAGAGAGACTGGAGCTGCACATGGTGGCACACACCTGTAATCTCAGCAGTTGGGAGGTTGAGGCAGGAGAATCATCTAGAGTTTGAGGCGAGCTTGGGCTACATAGTGAGTTGAAGGCTGGTCTGAACTACATAGTGAAACCCTGTCTCAAAAAAAAAAAAAGATTGGGGATGTAATGCAGTTGAAGAGTACTTGCCTAGCTTGCACATGGCTCTACATTCCATACACAAAAGGCCCAGTACCATACAGAAAAGAATAATTTTTTTGCATAGTTTACTTCATGAATTTGTCAAACATATGTAGTCCATAACAGCTATTTATACAATTCCTACCCTGTAATTATTTAAATATTCATTGTTCTTTTTTGGTCATTTGTATGATAGTTTATATTATCTTTAATTTGTTCCAAGGTATTTTTAGTTAATTTTAAATGTAAGATCATTTTCAGTAGGCAATTTTACATAAGTAATATTATATACTGAAGCGTTTATAAATATCTTTTCCACTCTTTAAATCTTTATAGGTGTGGATCAAACCTCATTTGGATTAAAACGTCCTTCTACTTCTAAAATAAACAGTGTTAATCCAAAAAAGCTAAAGACCAGCGAAAGTATTTCTGAAATAAGTCCATCTTCTTCATTGTCTTTAAGTAATTTTTCAGAGGCACCTTCCCAGATTGTGGTATCAACAGGTAAGTATGAAATCCAGCATCTGAAAAGGAAATATTACTTATGTGTAAAGTTTTGAAATTGTGATAAAATTTAAAAATTATTACTAGTTGTTATTTGAAGTTTTTTTTTTAAGGTGAATTTCAGTCATAAAAGTCCTTCATTTATTTTAGATTCAAATACCTCATCTATTGAACACAAAACTGGAGAGCCTGTCCGAAGATGTTGTCCAAAGTGCAATATTCAATTCAGTCGTTTGGATCCTTTGAAATACCACATGAAGGTAAAAGCTTTTCTCAAAATTTGATTTTTTTTCTGTCTTTTTGAGACAGGGTTTCACTATGCAGTTCAGGTTGCCCTCAAACTCACTTTGTAGCCCAGGCTGGCCTCAAACTCAGAGCGATCCTCCTGCCTCAGCCTCCCAAGTGCTGGAATTACAGGCATGCGCCACCATGTCTGGCTACAAAATTTTATTTTTAAAAATGTTTACAAATCCCTGAAAATATTAAGGATTGATATATAGTAAATGGTGATTTCTCCAGATCATCAGATAATAAATCTTCTCATATTGTTTTCATGTAATTTAAGTAAAAACTGATATTCATGATTATCTTCATGCAAATTATTATTGTTGCTGTTGGTTTTTTGTTTTGTTTTTGTGGTACTGGATATTGAACCCAGGGCCCCACACAAGCTAGGGAAGTGCTCTAACATTAGGCTATATCCCAATCCTATTTTTTATTGCTGGACAAGATCTCACTAAGTAGCTCAGGCTGAGCTTAAACTTGCATTCCTCCTGCCTCAGCCTGCCAAGTACCTGGAATTACAATAGACTACACACCCAGCCCAATTATGAAATCTTAAAAATTAAATTCATATACACAATACAGTTTATGCCCATTGCGTTCAATTTTAAATGAAAATAGTGTATCAATCAGTGTTTTATTGATTGAATCATGTCATTATTTTCAAGCTTCTGGTAAAGTAGCCATTTCATGAAGTGTTTAATCCTGCATATAACTTAAAAATTCCTTTTATATTTTGGTCTATGGTGATACATGCATGTCACATTACTTATTGAAAATCTTAGTTTTGCCTTTTATTTTTCATCACTCAGAAATAAACTAGTAAAAAGATAAACAAGGGGCTGGGGATTTAGCCTGCCTGGCAAGCGCGAGGTCCTGAGTTCAATTCCCAGTACCGGAAAAAACAAAAACAAAAACAAACAAGAAAAAGATAAACAAATGGTAGAGTGGTTCATTTGAAGTGATAGTTTTAACTCAATCCAGAATATAGGATATGTAGTTATAAATGAATTCTAGGTTTATATTAGTATAGGAAGCTCGTGAAATTAGGTTTTACATCATTAGTCATTTCAAAAATGGAAATTAAAACAACACAGAGATTTCATCTCACCCCAGTAAGAACGTCTGTCCTTAAGAAATCAACCAATAACAAATGCTGATGAGGCTGTGTAGAAATAGGAACTCTTCTCCACTGCTGGTGGGAATGCAGACTGGTGGAACCACTGGAAATTAGTTTGGAGGTTCCTCAACTAACTAGGTCTAGAGGTCCCATTCAACCCAGCTATTTCCCTTCTGGGTATTTTCCCAGAAGAACTGGAAACATCATATTACAGTGATGTATGTGCACCCATGTTTATAGCAGCTCAATTTATAATTACTAAATTGTGGAAGCAACCCAAATGTCCATCCACTGAGGAATGGATAAAAAAGTTGTGGTATTTTAATGTAATGGAATATTACTCAGCTGTAAAGAAAGATAAACTCAAGGCTTTCATAGATAAATGGTCACAACTGGAGACCATACTCATAAGTGAAATAAATCAGACCCGCATGTGTAAACAATGTATTGTCTCACTAGTATAAAAGAAAAAATAACCTGAAGGAGTGAATAAAATTAGAAGATATGATAGATAATGTGAAAGGAAAGGAAAATGCTCAAAAGTAAAGAATGACTGGGATGAGGGAAAAGAGAAGAGAAAGAAGGGGAAAATTATGTTTATATGTATATACAGGATATCTAACATAGTTGTACTACTGATTTCTATTGCTTTATTGAAAGGAACAGTTAATGATTAATTATTTGACCAATCTTACATATCTATATTTGTTTTCCCGAGTAACCACTTTGAAGAAATCAATATGTAATACAATGACCATTGTTAATTTCCTGTCACTTTGTCTGAATTTCAGTATTGCTTGTATTGTTCTTGTGTTATTTGTTAAATGTATATGTATTTGTTAATATGTTTTCATTCTTTTATTTTTTAAAATAAAAAATTAGGTTTTAAATAACTCTCAAAGTATTAACAAAGGTGGGATTTACAAGACATTCCTCTTAAATTTAGCCGTTACAGTATCCTATTTTTCTGTGTAAAGATAGTCTGACTCTCTTTGCATGCCTGGTATAAATAGCATGAAGTGGGAAAGCAGGCAAGAAAAAGGGTAATGTAGATGATAATATAGGCAAGAAAGATTGAGAAGAGTGCAAAAGCAAAGAAGCAACTTAGGAAAAGGTTTCCTTCCATTCACTAGCAAACTTTCATTGAAATTCCACATTCTGTGATATGGGCGTAGTGGTGCATTTGTGTGATCCCAGAGCTCGAGAGGCTGAGGCAGTAGTATTGATTTCAGTGAGTTTGAGGACAGCCTGGACTACATACATAGTGAGATCCTGTATCCGAAGGGAAAGAAATATGTGGGGAGAGGGGCATGGCTCTAAAATTTCAAATACAAATCTCTTTATTCTAGGCAACACTGTTATTCTGTCACTGCATCTATCTCCCTGAGTAAGTTTGAGAAAGGGAAGTCCAAGTTTCACATTATCAATATTTTCTTTGATGTTGTTCAGTTCTGTTATTTTCAATTTAGTATGTGTTTTTAGGATATATCTGTGTCTATTCTTGTAACATCCTTGTGAATGCATTGGGGTTTTTTATTGTTTAATACTTTTTAGCCTGAATTCCATATTGTTTGATATCAGGCTTATAGCCTTTGCTTTCTTATTGTTTCCATTTACCTGCTGTGTTCTTTGTTTATCCCTTTATTTCTATCCTTTCAGAGTATTTCTTTCACAAAAATTACTTTTGCTTTTGTGATCATATCTGAAGATCTCTACTAGGATTTGAGTTAAACCCATTTATATTTGGATAGTAAAGATTTAACTGAGAGGGTAGACTTCATTGGTTTTGGTTCTGTCAAAACTTTTTGTTATGCTTTTTTTCTAAGGCTTTTCTTTATACTTTTTTTACATATATGTAGCTTGGATTTTTAGGAAAGTTTCTTTCCACCCTAACTTGTTTGATTATGCAGTCTTGTTCCTTTTTTAAACCACTTGATTCAGGTATGATTGACATAGCTCAGAAAGTGCTAGTACTTCATATATAAAACTTGATGTGTTCAGAGATAAATACCCATCTGCAAAAACATTAAAATCTATGCCATAAACACACCTTTAAAATTTTCTACACATCCATTTTGTGTGTGTGTAATAAAAAAATTCCTACTCTATTAGCAACTTTTTAAGTATCCAATACAGTATTAACTATATGCTGCGCTGTACAGTATATATTTAGGGCTTATTCAGCTTGAATAACTGAGCTTTTATACGCTTTGACTAATATTGCCCCTTCTTCCAGACCATGACAGTCACCATTCTACAGTCAGCATTATTAGTTTGACTACTTTAGATTTTTCATATAAGATGAATCATATGTCTTAGCTACTTTCCTCTCATTGCTGAGACAAAATACCTATGCCCAAAATTAAATGAGGATAGTTTGTGAAAGTTTTAGTCCCTATTCAGCTTATATTGTATGCAGGCGACCCACCCTAGGGCAGATATAGCGCTCAGATCACCAATCCCAGAACCATATAATGAACCAATCACAAACTCTAGATTCAGCTGCCTCCAAGAAACCTGCTCCCCCCACATGACCACAAGAGGCTTGACAGGACATCCACACACAAACCATAACAATATAGAACTTTTTCTTTCTTCAGGGATATATAATATTCCATATTGTGTATAGAACCACATTATCCATTTGTATATGAATAGACATTTAGAATTGCTTTCATACCTTGAGTATTGTGAATAATGCTGCAGTGAATATAAGACTATCTTCGAGATGATGATTTCAGTTAGTTTGACTATGTAAGCGTCATTCTAGGTCATATGGTGGTTCTGTTTTTAATTTTTTTATGGAACTTTCCTATGTTTTCCATAGTAGCTGCATTATTTTACATCCCATCAACAGAGTACAAGGGTTGTCTTTACTCCACATTTTAGCAACACTTACCATTTGTCCTTCTCTTTTTTTTCCATTTGTTCTTTTGATATAGCCATTGTAACAAGTATGAGGTAATGCCAGACTGTGGTTTTGATTTCTGTTGCCCTAAAGATTACTGATGTTGAATGCCTTTTTAAAAATTTCTTTCTTTTTTCTTGTTTTGCACTGGAGATTGAGTCTAGGGCCTTTTCACTTTTGTATTTTACAAGTATTTTACATTACTATAACTTTATATTAGGTATTGATTTTATTCAGGAGGTACATGTCCCTGTCAGATGTGCAAGCACATAGATTGAAAAACATTGATGTTTTCAAAACATTGAGGTAACTGATGATTTTTTCTTTGTAAGCCCCTTAGCTTTTAGTACCTTGAGTCTGGAAAATGTAAGACTGGCTGTGCTCAAGATCTTATTCCAACCAGGCTTTGTAAAACCTATTACTGTATGTTATTTGATAATTAAACTGATACATAATGGTGTATAAAACTGCATTTCCCTTTTAGCCAAATCTTAACACAAACATGAACTACATGATTTTTATACAAGAAATAAATTATTAAATACATACATCTGAAAAGCAGAAATTACTGTGACAAAGGTATTAGGTATATAGCTATAACTGATTGGAAGGGTTCCAGTTTGTTACTGAAGTTATTAAGGTAATAGACATTTACTGTTGGAATTTTTTAGAATTTATAAGAGGCCAACATTTTGGTGAATCTTCCCAGGTATAGTGCCAAGCATAGTTTTACATGATCCAGCCATAGTTGTAAACACAGAATTGGTTTTTGTTTTTAATTTTTTGAAATAGGATCTCACTATGTAGTTTAAGCTGGGCTTAAACTCATCTTTGTAGTCCAGGCTAGCCTCGAACTCATGGGAATCTTTCTGCCTCAGCCTCCAAAGTGCTAGGATTACAAATATGCACCACAGTGCCTGGCTCTTAAATTGTATTTGCTTTTCTTTTCAGAATTGACTTTTGGCATCTAATTTTTTAAGAGATATACATAAGGCTTTATTTTTCCTCTTTCAGCGTTGTTGTCCACACATGTTAAATAACTTTGTGGGAACTATTAAAACAGAACCTTCGTCTGCTGAAGGCACAACTGATACTGGTTCAGACAAAGAAAAATTGGTCATGTTAGTTAGTGACTTTTATTATGGAAAGCATGCTGGAGCCTTGGAGGAAGAACCGAAGACTTATACAACCTTTAAATGCTTCAGTTGCTTGAAAGTTCTTAAAAATAACATTAGGTACGTAAACAGTTACAAGCATTCCTCATTTGATGACTGAGTTCCATTCCAGCGACTAGCTCATTAATTGAATTTGCCACTAAATCGGGAATTGTATATAGTATGTACTTTACAATATTCAGAGCAGAGAGATGGTCAAAGGAAACTCCAACTTGATGACTTTGATTTTATTTGTGTAACTTTTACATGGAGTACTGTAATGTATAACAACACAAAAGTACTGTACTGTATAATACAATCAGGAAAAATTATAATACAGTATAAATAAGATAACACTGTACAGAAAAAGACATTGAGGCTCTATAAACAAGATTTACAGAACTATACCTGTAAGTCGAAGTGGCCAACCTCAGTTTTAAGTCCCAAATAGTCATTAACCAGGTAAGTCGTTAAACGAGGGATATCTGTCTTTTTTATTTGTTTAAAAATGAAGATACTACAATTTGTGTCTTGAGTGTGAATATTGTATCTCTTATTTCTTTGCCATCCCCAGATAAGAAGTTTCAACATGTTCTGCTAAGAACAGCAACAGGTTATTACGCTGAAAAGTTTTTGTCTTCTCTTGTGTTTTAGTAGTTTGATTCTTCCATCTACCTAATTGTATTTTTTTCAGATTGCTTAAGAAAAGACAAAAATAACTTCAGGAAAATTACTTTTTCTCCCTATATTTATCCTTGAACTAGGACTTTTCCTGACATGTTTTTATTTTTTAGTTGCTCTTGAGTCAAATTTTTTATATTACAAGAACTACTTTATCCAGTCTGACCCTCCATAGTCTCAATGTTCAACTTCTTCATATCTATAATTTTTAACATACTTAACTTGTGTTAAAAAGTGACCTTTTTGGTGATCTTCTTAGAGAAGTTCAAGTTCTGTAAAATATGTCTGCTTTGATTTTATAACAACTCATTTTTGGATTTTTTTTTTTTTTTTGCAATCTTGGGAATTAAAGCCAGGGCCTTCACACTGAGCTACATACCCAGCCCTTTTTTATGTAATTTTGACATAAGCTCTCTGAGTCTGTGAGTTGCCCAGGCTAGGCTCAGTCTCAGAATTCTCCTGCCTCAGCTTCCCAGAGTGGTGAGATTACTTGTATATGCTACCACACCCAGTTCCTAGCCCTTTTTTATTTTTTGTTTTCAGACAAGAACTTAATAAGTTGCCCAGGCATGACTAGAACTTTTTGACCTTCCTACCTCTGCCTCCTTTGTGCTGAGGTGATAGACATGTGCCACTGTACCTGGCACCTAAAACATTTTGAAATACATGCTCCCAGTGGAATTATAAAGCTTTTATAAATGTTTGCTTAAATTTAGAAACTTGTACTTTATAGGCTTTGAGATATATAGCGTGTAACATAGCTATCATTTTAGGTGAGATAGTAACAAAAGAAATAACAAGACTATATATATATATATTTATTTTTTAGAAGTGTAATGCACTATCCATTGCACTACAGAACCAGAATGTATGTGTATTTTTTGAGACAAGGTCTCACTGTGTAGTTCAGGCCGTCCTTGAACTGTGTAGCCCAGGCTGGTCTTGAACTTGCCGCAATCCTCCTGCCTCAACTTCCTGAGTGCTGGGATTACATTCATGTACTACCACACCTAGCTGTAACAAGCCATATTGATTGGTATTTTTCACTGCTTATATAGCCTGACATTTGTACTAGGTAAGGTTATATATAAGAATTTTCAAATATTCAACATGCACACAATACCTATCTGTGTGTATATATATATTTAAGAGCTTCAAAGGATTTACTTCATGAGACTTTTGATGGTAGACTTGCCTTCCTCTGGTTATTTTATTTTGAAATCAGGTAGAATTTCATGTATGGGAAAGAAGACTGCTCATGAAATGTTTTAAGCTTTAAATTTGAAATAATTCTAAAGCATTTTAGCAGATTAGTGATACTTCATAATAACTATGTTAATGGATTATTTAAAGTACACACTTTTTGGGGGGCAAGTTACTGCAATGTTACCTAGACTGACTTCAAACTTCTAAGCTCAAATGATTCACCTACCTCAGCCTGAAAAACTAGGACTATGGGTATAAATTTGCCTCTGCCTCTGACACCTGAAGTGCACATTTTTTTACAGGGATATTATTATTATTATTATTTTTTATTTTAAAGAGTAAAAGAAGGATAGCATAATAATAGGTGGGGCTTACCAAATTACAGACAAAGTGGTAGGAAATTATCAATGGTTATTGTTTTACATATTGTTATCTATAAGATAGTTTCTCAGGAAAACAAATAGACAAATGATAGTGAGTTACAGACAAAAGAGGTAGGAGATTATCAATAGTTGTTGTACTATACTTAGGTATCTTCAAAGTGGCTTCTAAAGAATATAAATAGAACTATACTTGAGTGACCTACTGAATAATCATTCAATAATTCTCAATGGTTGTTGTAGGAAACACATACTAATAAACATGGATCCATTTATGAAATAGGATAGGAACAATACAAACATTAGAGAGTTATGGATAGATTAGTAGGAAAATATCAATGACTGCTGTAATACATGGTGGTATCTTCAAAGTGGTTTCTCAGGAAGACAGAGATACACAAGAAGGATCTAACAAGTAGTTACAGCCTAAGGGTTGTCAAAAATCAAGTGAGCCGTCTGGGGCCAAAGCCATTTTTTGTAGCGTTTTCTCTCCAGCCTCTCATCACATTGGGACCCCACAACCAGTTAGTGTCCTCTCCCCAACTGTCAGCACAGGCAGCAGGAATCCTGCTGCAGACTTCTCCCGAGCTCCACCACAGCCTGTACTGTCAGGGGAAGAATGGCTTCCAGTGAGTCCCTGCAGGTATTGTGCAAGGTCGTCCTGGTTTACAGCATCCGAGCAGCTCTCGTGACCCCAGTCCACTGGACCTCTGACTCCGTGGGCTTAGTCTGCATTCTCATGTTCTCTGAGTCCTTGTTCAGCAGCTGCTCCTCCGCTGGCTCTGGACCTTTCTGGTTCTCAATGGCAGGAGCAAGAGTGGCCCGTTGTATGGCATGTATTCCCAGGGGTTGTTCAAAGTTTGAATGATTCACACACATCCGTGGGTGGGCAACTGCAGTTGGTGCATGGTGGGCCAATTGTGTCACTGTTTCTCTGTGTCATGATAGATCTCAATTGAGCGGCGGCGGCCGGCCTAAGGGCTGGCGCACAACAACGTTCTCCGCCGCATGGCTCCCCATGCGCTGGGGGCCCTCCCTCCGAGAGCTACGAGGCAGGAAGCTAGCCAGCCAGAAGACCGGCGCTCCCCACTACAGGGATATTATTTTGAGTTGCAATCATATAACTGCATATTTAAAATTCTAAGTTCAGATACTTACCTATGAGGTTTTTTTGTGGTTATAAATCTGAATTTTTGTACCCACTGACTGTCATTTATAGGTTCATGAACCACATGAAACACCACTTGGAACTTGAAAAGCAGAATAGTGAGAGCTGGGAAAGCCACACCACCTGCCAGCACTGCTACCGGCAGTATCCCACGCCCTTCCAGCTGCAGTGCCACATTGAGAGTACACACACTCCCCATGAATTTTCTAGTAAGTGGCAATTTCATTGGAATTCTGAGTATTACTGATTTTCATCATCTAAACTGTGAATGAGGAAACTTTAAGCATTTTGTTGAAAAATAAGAATAAGCTATAGACTTTGAGGGCAAAATCAAAAAACAAGTTTTAACTCTTATAAACTTAAATTTGCTACTAAATTTGAAATGCTGTTGTAAATAATTCATTAATGGGAACTCCCTTGGCATAACTCAGTGCTTTGTGTGTAAGGGACTAAATTCAAACACCCAGATGTGTGATTTTCAAATTTGAAATCAGTGCCCTTGATTTACACTTTAATATTAAAAGTAACTACAGTGGTAGTTAACACTCACAATCTGGGAACTGGACAGCTTGGATTCAGGTCTTAGCTCTACCTTTTAATACAGCTGAGGGGGTGTCAGGCAAGTTACTTTTTCTATGCTTCAGGTTCTTTTGAAAGACAGGTATAAAAATAGCAGTACCTCCCTGAATTATGAGAATTTAAAAGCTAAATAATGTCTTTAGAACAGTGTTAGAATCAACAGTGATAGACTTACTAGAAGTAACTTCACCATTGCTACTACTGCCACTGATACTATTACTTGTTGTTCTGGAAGTACAAAGTGCATCTTTTTTTATATACATCTTTGAAATGATATAATGTGTTTTTTCCACTTTCAGCTATTTGCAAAATCTGTGAATTGTCATTTGAAACAGAGCATATTCTTTTACAACATATGAAGGACACTCATAAACCTGGTGAAATGCCGTATGTTTGCCAGGTACGTAAATGTTTTAGTTTATACTTAGACATTTGTTTGATTTTCGTGTGCCATGAAGTAGTATTTTTCTTTTGATGTTTTTAACCATTTACATAAAATTAGTTACTATATTAAAATTTGAAGAGTCTCTTCATCAGTGAAAATTGCCTTGATTTAATTTATGCATTGTATATAAGAGTGGTGGGCTGGATTTGGATTGTACACTGTGGTTTGCTGACCTCTGTAATAGATAAAGAAATGTCCTGGAGAAAGAGAGACATGTGGGTTTGTTATATAAGGAAGACTATAGACATGCCAGGGAAACAGAAAATGTTCTTAGTTTAAGAGGGCCCAATTAAATCCTTTGTGACCAGAATTTTTCCAGAATTTGAAGTGACACTCAGTAGTAAGAAAGCAAGATAAAGATAAATTGCCGCTGGAATAGTCTAAAAATCTAACGAAAAAATACTGTTTTATATAGCAGGAAAAACTTTATAGAATAAATGTTGGTTAGAGCTTGAAAATTGAAGTGAAGATGCGGGTTGTAGATCTGAGAAGAGAGTCTGTGTTTTGGAATATATCCCTAAGCTTTGAAGGATACATTGGTTTCAAAGATAATCTTACTACTTGTAGTAATGAGACTCTTAATTGATAGGCAGCAGAGCTACATAGTACAGAATGTTCTTCTAAACAAATGACTCACTGGGCTGCTGGTGCACACCTGTAATCCCAGCACTCCAAAGGCTGAGGCAGGAGGATTATGGCAAATTCAAGACCTGCCTGGCCTACATAGTGAGTTTGAGGCCCACCTGGAATATTTAGCGAGGTCGTGCCACAAAAAAACAAAACACAAAAAATAACCAAATTACTCGTTATTAATTTGATGTAATTTTATGCAAGTTATAAAATTTCAAGTTAAACTAAACTTTCTTTGTATTTTTAGGTTTGCCACTTTAGATCATCAATATTTTCTGATGTGGAAACTCATTTTAGAGCATCCCATGAAAACACTAAGAACTTGCTATGTCCATTTTGCCTCAAAGTTAGTAGAATGGCAACCCCCTACATGAATCATTACATGAAACATCAGGTGAGATTTAGCAGTTCTTTGTTTATGATATCTTGATGAAAAGATACATGTACTTAGCATATTCGTTACATTTGTTTGAACAGAAATCAAACTTGCTTCAAACAACACAATAAATCCTCAGTTTACACAAAATTACCTGCGAAACTTCTTTTCTTTACTTTGCCTGCTTTGTGATGATACTGAAGCCCATAAGTAGTAAAAGTTCTGAAAGATAGCTACAAATAAGCACCCTAGAGTAGATAGAAAAGGGACAAGTGACTAGAATATTTAACTTGGATATTTTAAACTCTAAGAATGGCAGGAATGGGAATGATTTTAAAGGTAGTTATTAGAGCCAGGAAAAGGACATTTGAAATGAGGAAGCTAAGATTGATAACTTATAACCTTCTGTTTTTCTCTTTCTCTTTAAACTTTATCCCTACTTTCTAGCCCACATTTAGTTACTGGAAAGTTGTTTTCACTGACCCAGAAAGGTCTCTTGCAACAGCTGGTAATAAAGGAAACAACAGTGATATTTGCTACCAGATATGTGATCTATCCCAAAGAACTATAAATAAGTCATAACTTGATTCTTGCATGATTTTTGCCAGCTTTGCTATATAATTTCTAGGATATCAGTATTAATGTTTGCACCTTCCCTTGAATTCTGATTTTAATGCTTCTGGTTCTTTTTCTGAAACAATTAGATAATCTTTTGGGCTGAAAACTTTGATGAGTATTTGAAAGAGCCTTTGCCAAAATCAGAAGTCAATGGATTTACTGAATCTGATTATATAATCAAGTTTTGTCTCCTCACTGAGCAGCTCACCGCATTTTCTTCCTATTGATTGCATTGTCATGGCCAATTTATTCAGCCCTGGTGCTAACATAACTGTTTTTTCCAGTCACGAAGAAATCAACCTGTAGTTAATTGGAAAGAATCATAAAAGCAAAATCTCCAGATACATTCAGAATTAACTGTGTTATCATTGGGATGATACCACCAATATTCTTATTTTTCTTTATTAAGGGTGGGCCACCTTACCCTTAAGAACCTCTGGCAAAATTTTCCTATTCTAGGGTTTTCTCAGCAGATGTTAGGCATTCCACCAGATGCTGATGGGTATTCTCTCAGATTGTTTCTGATTAAAGAAATGTGGCTGGGCGTGGTGGCGCACGCCTGTAATTGCAGCACTCGGGAGGCTGAGACAGAAGGATCGTTGTGAGTTCGAGACCAGCCTGGGCTACAAAGTGAGTTCAAGGCCAGCCTAAACTTCGTAGCGAGACCCTGTCTCCAAAAGCCAAAAACAAAAGAAATCTGATATTTGAATTTACAGAATTCATGGGATGTTCTTCCTTATTTTTAAAAACAAGGCTTTTGAGAACTTGTAGTATCTAATAGATACTATCAATCTCCAAGTAGAAGACATGGTATATATGGTATGTCGTGTTCCCCAAACTTGTTTAAGACCATCAAACTGTTTATTTACATAATATCTATAAACATTTCTTGAGGAATATAGTTTGAGAAACACTGTTCTTTGGGCTTTTTCATCTTTTAACTCATTTTTGAAAGAATGAAATAAAATGGGACACCATGGTACATCCCTGTAATCCCAGCATTGAAGGAGGCTAAGGCCAGACTGGGGATATAGCTCAGCAGCACACGCGCCTGCCTGGCAAGTGCAAGGTCCTGAGTTTAATTCCCGGTACCAAAAAAAAAAAGGTGACTAAGGCTAGAGTTAAGCTCAGCCAAGGCAAGTCAGTGACTCCAGGAGACCCTGTCTCAAAGTTAAAAGGGGGATGGGGACATAGCTCATTGTAAAGGCCCTGAGTTCAGTGTACAATACCACAAAAAAGAATGAAATATAAAGTAGTATCTCTGTGTCGTTATGAGGCTTTTAGCATAACTCTTCCCTCTCTGCTTTATTAAGCTCCAGAGGGATGTGGATCCTAGGTATGGACAGAGTGATACATACTTAGGTAAAAAGAGATAGGTGGATGCACTATGCAGGCAGTGTCTCTAGTCATTCTTCATACCCTAACTTATATGTCTTAACTTGTCATGTATATTGGAGAATTATTGCAGCAGGTCTCAGTTGCTCAAATCTGGTGTATTTTCCAAAGAACTTGCTTATATTGCTCATGGAAATTGAGTTCTTAAAATATTAATAATAGATTAGAAGTATTATATATGCCTGGAAACTTGAGCCATACTATGCCAGTTTGCCTAGATAATTTGTGTAAAAAATACAGTCATGTTAGCTGGGCATGGTGGCATACACCTATAATCCCAGCTACTTGGGAGGCTGGGGCAGTAGGATTTTAAGTTTGAGGTAAGCCTGGATAACTTCAGACCCTTTCTCAAGAAAAATCTAAAGGGCTAGGAATATAGCTCAGAGAGTAGTAGTTTTGGGTTCTGTCCTCAGTACTGCAAAGAATAAAATATGGTTATGGTGACCACTTGCTCTACCCCATGAAAACACTGGGCTCTTACACCCAAGAGAGCTTGTCTGTCAAACAACACTTTACATATGTTGTAGCAGTTATTGGAAGATTAATTGTGCCCTGTGTGTGAGAGAGTTCTTGGAAGCTGGTACTTTTTATTCTCCAGAATCTATCCAGTATACCCTGTCCTTATTTAATCCTGCTCTGTATCCTTTCGGTGTTACAAACCTAGCTGTGAGGATATCAACTTCTGATTCCTATCAATCCTTGTACTGAATCATCAAACCTGGGAGTGAGAAGTCTTGGGGTGACCAACATACCAGGAGGTGCTCTTAGCCTGTTTAGGATGCTGTAACACTACCACCACAGACAGTGTGGTTCAAACAACAAACATTTATTTTCATGGTTCTGGAGGATGGGAAGTCCAGGATAAAGGCACTGGCAGATTTGGTTTCTAGTGAGGGCCTGCCTCCTGATCATAAATGCCCATCTTTCCACTGTGTCCTCACATGGAAGATATGGCAAGAATGCTCTGTTCAGCCAGGGATATAGCTCAGTGGCAAAGCGCCAGCCTGACAAGGGCGAGGTTCTGAGTTGGATTCTCGGTACCAAAAAAACAAACAAACAAAAAAACGTTTAGGAATGCTCAGTTCTTTTTAAAAGGACACTAATCCCATTTATGAGGGCTCTACTTTTGTGATCTAATTATCTCCCAGTAACCTCACTTCCCAATACTATTGGAGGTTAAGCTTTCAACACATGAATTTGGATGAAACATAAAACATTTAGTATTTTGTAGACACTCAGATGTTTGGTAAATTTAGAGTAACTTAGAGCTAGGCAGTAAGCAGTAAAGAATAAAATTTTTTGATAAGGATTTCCAAGTATGGTGACACACACCTGTGATCCCAGCATGCTGGGAAGCTGAGGGAGGGTGATGACAAGTAACTTAGCCCCTTTTAAAAGGTCAATGCATAGGTCCTGGCTTCAATCCCTAGTACCACACATATAAAGAAAAGAAAAGAAAGGGTTATCAGGCATCTGTCAAGGTATTTGCAGTTTGCATAATTATTAACAACAGACTCAAAAATCACAGCTAAGCAGGATTATAATCTTGTAATGGAAATGATGTTATTAGTGCAATTTTATTTAGACCATAATTTATTTTTTTCTTTTCTTTGAAAACTTTGTAATTTTTTCCTAAAAAGAAATACTCATATTATGAATGATTTTAGAGCTAATAATCCAATTTTTACACTTTCAAGAAAAGATGGAAGATTTCAGATGTGTTAAATACCTTCATTAACTCATGAGTGATAAGAATATTTAGTTGACACTACTTTAAAAATAACAATAGGCAGTGTACTAACCATTGTTACTTTCCTACAATCTTGTATTGAAATTTTATACCATTTTTGTTTATTTTTCTTTTCCTTAAAATTAAAAAAAAGAATATTTAGTTGCCATACGACAAACCCTGGTGCTTTTATGAGTGTTATTTTGTTTAATCTTTACAACCACCTGTACAGCAAGTGTGTAATTATTTCCATTTCATAGATGTGAAAACAAAGCTTTACAGAGAGTAAATAACTTTCACACTTACCACATACTTCAATAAATGGCAGAGCCAAAAATAGATTTAGGCCCCAAGATTTTACCAGACTTATTCTACAAAAATTAGGTCTAAAGAGGGAAATTACAGGTAGGTCAGCATTACCTGTGAAAATTCCTCAAGTCGCTCAAACAGTATAGTATGTTTATCAAAAATCTCAGCACAGACAACTTTTTCTCTACCACTGGAACAAGTCATTGTTTCTTAGATTAAAAATCACGTTATCTTAACAGTGAACTGCATTATCATTACCAGCCTAGGCACATTGCAAACATATATGCATGAAAGTGATGTATAAGATTTGAGTTTGATTTAAGGAATGGTAAATTAATGTCTCCTATGTCATAGTTTTGGACAAATGCTCACTGAATGGAATGCAAACATTTTAAAAGAGTTAAATTATACTTGCTGTGCCTATCAGTCTCTTACTTTCTGCCTTACTATTTAACAAATATTTGTTAAACCTAGTATATGCCAAAGACTTTTAAGTATTAGAGATCCAGAAGTGAGACAAGCAAAGTTTATTCCCTCCGGAATTTGCATTGTGGTAGTTGGGGGAGAGACTGACTAATGTCTGAATGTGTATGTATGTCAGCTGGTAGTAAATACAGCAGGAAGAAAATGCAGGTGTATAGAGAACAAAACTTGGCTAAAAAGTTGGTTACTGTTTTTTATATGAAGTAATTCAAGAGGGCCTCTCCAAAGGTGACAAGGAAGGAAGTCATGTGGCTATGTGGGAGAGAAAGTTCCAGGCAGAGAGAAGAGTGAGTAGGTAGTGAAGTGAACATCTATTCATACTCAGGGTGTTCAGAGAATAGCTAGTTCAGTGTGGTTGGAGCACAGTAAACAAGAGGAAAAGAAGTAGATGAGGTTGTAGCAATGGAAAGCAAACCAGATTGTGTAAGCCCTTGTAAGTCAGTGAGGATTCTAGAGTGTTATGGAAATCCACTGGAGAATTTAAGCAGGAGAAAGATCTGCAGTATTTTAAAATTTATTCTGTCAGCCATGGCAAGAATTGACTATGGGAGGGATACATGGTGATAATAGAGAGAAGATAGCCTGTTACACAAATCCATATAGTGGCTTTAGACTACTATGCATGGTAGCAATGGTTGGAGATGGTAATTGATTATAAGTATTTTATGAAGGGTATCACTGATGTTTTATTAATGGGTTAAATGTAGGTTGTGAAAGATTTAAGAATAACCAGCATTTTTTTGTCCCAAACAGCTGTAAAGGTGATGCCTGTATACTGAGATATTTGAAGACTGAAGAAGGAACAGATTTTTTTACCTTTACACACACACAAACATGCATACTGTGTGGAAGGAATTCTAGAATTCAGTTTTGTTCATGTTGATTTGAAAAGCTTAATGAACAAGTAGAGATGTCAAGTAGACATTTATATGGCTACTATTTAAAGCCATGAAACTGGTGACATATAGATAGTGAAAAGATTTCTGGGAACTGTGCTCTAGGAAGGTTTCTGTCTTGATATCCTGCAGTCTATTTCTTGGCTGAGTTTTCTCTCTCTTTTCCCTTCTCTTGAGTATATATTATGTTGACTGTACATCATATATGATCCAATGGACCATACTTGTAAAATAGTCTGAAAATGAAACTAAAACAGTAAAACACATTTTACTTATATATTATTTTGAACTTTATGGAGAATTTATTCATCACATGATAGCTGTGCACTAGTAACCATGCTCAGTTCTTTCTTACCTGTTACCTCATTTTGGTTTTGCAAAGTAAGTGATGTTCTTGTACAGACACAGGTTTAAAGAAAACATGTTTTAAGCTGGGTATGGTGGTATGCATCTGTAATCCCAGTACTCAGGAGGCTGAGGCAGGAGGATTGCCGTGAGTTCAAGCCCAGCCTGGGCTACAGAGTGGGTTAAAGACTATCCTGAGTTACGTAATGAGACCCTGTCTCAAAAGAAAAGAACATGTTTTAAATTTACATACAAATATAAAACATTTTTTCATATTGTTCTTTAAATATAAAATATTTTAATTAATGAAAGCTTACATGTAAAGATTGCAATTAATTATATATAGTAAAAAGGATGCTATGGATGGTGATAAATTTCTCTTAGGACCTACTTCCCATTGGTAAAATGTAATAAGCCTGTACTTGAGGAGGAACTAGATCAAGGAGTTTTCAAACAGTAGATCAGGAACTGTTCTCTTTATAATTCCTTACGCATGCTACTCAGTAGTATACCCTCTAAGCACATATAGCTCTAATTTAAATTAACTAAATAAATTAGACCTTCAGCTTCTCAGTTGCACTCCTCACATTTGAAGTACTCAGTTACTACATAGGGCTAGTGGATACCATAATGGGCAATGTGGCTATAAAAATTATTACTACAGAAGATCCTATTGGATAGGAATGCTTTACACCAATCTAATGCAAATGTTCTGTTTATTTTTACCAATTTGTGAATCAAATGGAAATAGCAAAAACTATAATTTATTTTTTCTAAGGATAAAAACATAGCATAGCTCATTTTCAGTGTATAATATATTTCAATAGTTTATTACTTTAAATTTCTAATTAAAAGAACTTTAGGGGCTGGGGATTTAGCTCAGCGGCAAAAGCACCTGCCTGGCAAGCGCAAGGTCGTGAGTTCGGTTCCCGGTACCAGAGAAAA